CACTGGGGTGCCCGGCCAGCCTGGATGAGGGGATGATGGCTGTTTGCAGCTGGTCACACCCCCTTCAGGGTGGGGGTCCCCACTGGGGTGCCTGGCCAGTCTGGGTGAGGGGCTGAGAGCCGTTTTCAGGCTGGCGGGTGACTGAAGCTCCCAACCGCTCCTTTTTTTCTTTTTTTTTATTCTGGGATTTATTTACCTTCTATGGCTGTCACTGGAGCTGAGAGCCGGCTTTAGCTCTAAGGCTCGGCTCCAGTTCTGAGACTTCGGCTGCTGAAAGCGGGTTTCTGGGCTTTGTTTACCTTCTGTATTTAAAACTTTGTTGCGACTCCAGCTCTGAGATCCCGGCTGGCTGAAAGCAGGTTTCTGGGTTTTGTTTAGCTTCTATATTTGCAACATTGTTTCTTAGAGAGCAAGCTCAGAGCTGGGCTGCGGCAGGCGTGGAACATTGGCTTCCTCCATCACTGGAGCAAGCAAGCCTCATGTTCACTTCAGTTGCCTGGCTGCTGGCCGCCATCTTGGCTGGCAGTTAATTTGCATATCTCGCTGATTAGCCAGTGGGAAGGGTAGCAAAGTTACAGCTAATTACCATGTTTCTCTATTATTAGATAGGATTAGAGGCCCAGTGCACGAATTTGTGCACAGGTGGGGACCCTCAGCCTGGCTGGTGATTGGGTCTGGCAACTGGGGGAGGGACCGCGGGAGATTGGCTTTGGTAGTGCACTGACCACCAGGGGGCAGCTCCTGTGTTGAGTGTCTGCCCCCTTGTGGTCAGTGCACATCATAGCGACCAGTTGTTCAGTCGCTTAGGTTCTTATATGTATAGACTAGAGGCCCAGTGCACGAATTCGTGCACGGGTGGGGTCCATAGGCCTGGCCGGTGATTAGGGCCTATCAGGGCCAGGCCGATTGGGGCCTGCTGGCCAGTGGGGAAGGACAGGGAGCAGGAGGTTGGCTGCCGGCTCTAAAGAGGGAGCCGGCCCTTGGCCCCCCTGGGAAAGGGGCTGCGTCTGCCGTCACCCATTCCCGGTTACCTGTCCCAGCCCGGGCCCTGAAGGCCCTGGCGGGGCAGAAGAGGAAATGACGGTCACCAGGCACAGAAGGAAAAGACGCTGGAAACCGAAGCTGACGCCAGCACCCACCACCGCGCAGTTCCCCACCTAGCCCCCCCTCCTTCCCTCACTGCAGCAGGCGGCCGGCTGGGGTGAGGGATGGGGCACAGGAGGTTGGCTGTTGGCCCTGAGGAGGGAGCTGGCCCTTGCCCCCCCTGGGAAAGAGGCTGCGTCCACTGCCACACACCCCTGGCTCCCCATCCCAGCCCAGGGCCAAAGGCCCCAGCAGGGTTGGGAGAGGAGGCTACAGTCACTGGGCCAGGCGCAGAAGGAATGGACGCTGGACGCCAACCCTGCCGACTGGCCACAGGAGGTTGGCTGTGGAAGTGCACTAACCACCAGGGGGCAGCTCCTGCATTAAGTGTCTGCCCCCTGGTGGTCAGTGCACATTATAGCAACTGGTTGACTGGTTGTTCTGTTCATTCAATTGTAACGGTTGCTTAGGCTTTTATATATATAGATGTATACTAAAAAGCACAGTAAATGTTTACTAGAGCACCAATCCTAGTATTAGAGTAAAGTGGTGATTGAGAGTATTTTTATTCCTGTCAGGGATGACCTGTCATCTAAGACATATCTATCCTGGCCCCTTTGGATTTCTCCAGCATCACTTCTAGACAGATTCCTTTCCCAGAATCTCTCACCAGTTACCCCAGTTAATTTCCTGCTTCTCAGACACACAGGATGCAATTAGTCTCCCTCTATACCTTCAGCTTACTCTGTTTACTGTACTTTGGAATGCTGTTGAAAGTGTTTTTGTTTATTGGGATCCTATTCCTTTTCTGGACCCCAATTAATCATCTGCATGCTACATGAAACTTTTACATACCCTTAAACTAATTAAGTCACTCATTTCCCATAGCAAGATTCTTCTCTTTGTAATAGGAGCTAATTTAACCTGCTTAAAACCCTTCACCTGTGAAAGTAAATCTAACCATCTAAGGATGTGATCCTTCTTTTCAGCCTCATCTCTCTCTGCTCCCTCTCTCATTTGCCTCTAGTAGTTTCCAGAATACACAGTGCTATCTCTTGTCTTTGTTGCACAAGAAATACAAGAGAGGTGCTTATACCATACCACCATTATCTCTGGGTTCTATGAAGCCTGCTTGAGTCTCCTAATTATCCTCGGTGACTCTGATCACATTCCCTTATTCTGCATCTGTCGTAGTTCTTATCACACTGTATTGTAACTGTTTTTTAAAACTGCTTTTATTAAATACTAGAGGCCCAGTGCACAAAATTCATGCACTTTGAGGGGTCCCTCAGCCCAGCCTGTGCCCTCTCGCAATCCAGGAGCCCTTGGGAGATGTCCGACTGATAGCAGTTGGACATCCTTAGCACTGCCGTGGAGGTGGGAGAGGCTCGCCAGCCATCAGTCTGGCTTCTGGCTGAGCCGTGCTCCCCCTGTGGGAGCGCACTGACCACCAGTGGGCACCCCCTCATCGAGCATCTGCCCCCTGGTGATCAGTGCGCATCATAGCAATTGGTTGTTCCATCATCTGGCCAAAACCAGCTCTTTGACATCCCCTGAGGGGTCCGGGATTGTGAGAGGGCACAGGCCAGGCCGAGGGACCCCACTAGTGCACAATCCAGGCCAAGGAGGGACGCAGGAGGTTGGCCAGCTGGGGAGGGACCGCAGGAGGGCTCCAGTGCGTGTCTGGCGCATATCGCTGAGTCCCGATTGGCTGGACCCCAGCAGCAAGCTAACCTACTGGTCGGAGTGTCTGCCCCCTGGTGGTCAGTGCACGTCATAGCGACTGGTCAACCAATCGACTGTCTGCTCCCTGGTGGTCAGTGCACATCATAGCAAGCAGTTGAGAGGCCTTAGCATATCATTAGCATATTATGCTTTGATTGGTTGAAGAGCCGACTGGACTGGACACTTAGCATATTGGGTTTTTATTATATAAGACTAGAGATCCAGTGCACAAAATTCATGCACGGGGGAGGGGGTCGGGTCCCTCAGCCCAGCCTACACCCTCTCCAATCCGGGACATCCCTGTCGCAATCCAGGACCACTGGCTCCTAACTGCTCGCCCGCCTGCCTGCCTGATCACCCCTAACCACTTCTGCCTGCTGGCCAGATGCCCCTAACTGCTCCCCTGCAAACCTGATTGCTCCCCTGCTGGCCTGATTGCCTCTGAACTGCTCCCCTGCCGGCCTGATTACTCCCTAACTGCTCTCCCCTGCTGGCCTAATTGTCCCCTAACTGCCCTCCCCTGCCGGCCTGATCGCCCCTAACTGCCTCTGCCTCGGCCCCTGCCACTGTGGCTTTGTTCGGAAGAACGTCCAGAAGATATCTGTTCTAATTAGTATATTACCCTTTTATTAGTATAGATTGAATAGTAGAAAATGTATAAGGTATGATGATGACTGAGCACCCATTTTAAGAAGTAGAATGTTATTTATTGTTCAAACAAAATAAAAAAAAATCCAGTGCCTTTCTCATCCCTCAGAGGTAACTCTGAGTTCATGTTTCATTCCCCTGGATTTGGTTACAGGCCT